ACCAAGAGAAATCAAATTTCTCTTAAGATCAGATGCATACCTGACACCACTCAACAACTTTATTGACTCATCGTGGAGCTTACGTCTCACAGATATAATTCTTGTAATTTTACAGGTTTTGTTGTTTCTTAGAAGCATTGACCCACCATTTTAATCACATAAATCCTTAAACATATATTTGTTTGGTGTCGTGTGACAAGTGCAACCAAAATCCATGATCCATTCCATACTAGAATTGTTGTTTGAAACTACCAGAATATCAGACGATTTGTAATCATTTTGAACAATGATTGCATTTCCATTGTCATTGCCATCACTATAACTCTTCAACCTATCAGGACACACTTTTCTTATATGACATTTCTTCGATCTTTCTATTATTCTTCGTAATATTTATAAAATTATAAAATATATAAACGAAGTACTCAAAATTAAAGCAAAATTTACTTTCAAAAAGCATGTCAATATTCATGAGGTTTTGAGGAAGAACTTAATATTGTTTTCAACCAAAGTGATTTGCACCATTACTAGAATAAGTACAATTAACAAAAAAAAAAAGAAAGTTAACTGATATTGAAAATGGAGAATCCTTTTTTTAAGCACATTGTTAGATACACTATGAAATTAGGTGAACTTCTTAAAGACGAAGGATTAAAGACCAGGTTCTTTCCTAGTTATTTTAACAAAAAAAAATGCTTTCCATGATTTTCTATGTTAAAGCTTAATTTTATTGTAAATTGAATGCAATTAGAAAAAAAGCTTTTAAGATCAATTCTTTATGAGAGATTTGAAAGTTACTCTCACCATATATATATATATATATATATATATATATATATATATATATATATATATATATATATATATATATATATATATATATATATATATATATATATATATATATATATATATATATATATATATATATATATATATATATATATATATATATATATATATATATAATATTTGAACCGATTAGAAGTTTTAATTGTGCGAATCGACCCACAAATTCGTTGATCCAAACTAAATCAACTTATAAATTATCCGAACTCATTTATTTGCAGGTATACCCGATCTAACCCATAACAACCCATATAATTTTGGGTTGAGTATTGAGTTTGAATTTTACAACACGCAAACCCATTGATGTGGTTTTAGTAATTTTTTCTTATTTTTATTTTTATTTTCAAACAAAATATAAAACTAATATCTCATTAATAATCATAATTTAAAAAAAAAAATTTTCCACCAATAATACTATTAGACTAATGAATTTACGTAATTCTAATTTTAAATATTGTTTTTTTTTTTTTATCATTTCCAACTTACCTATTTTATGGAATAGTTGAATTTTACACTAATATCATATATTATTTTAAGGAAACCCAGCCAAACCTCTTCCCCGACACCTGTCGATGAAGATGGAAAATAATGAAGAAGAGTGGAAGAGTGACGCTGATCTGCAAGTGCTCGCATACCAACTCATATGCCCGCATGAAAGCGAGGGAGTTCAGATGCAGCTGTGAAGGCGCCAGATCAAGATGGGCAAAGACAGCCCGCTGAAAATCGGTGAAGGGCAACCTTAACCCTATCTCCTTCAAGACGTACCTATGATGTTATTATGAGAATGATTATTAACGTGTGCATCATGCATTCATGTGCATCCGGACTTCTGTTCAGGACCTTGATTTCTTTGACTTCAGTCCCATTGTGCGGATGTGAGGTATTTTGATATGCTCCCATTCTTGTATAGAATCGTTCCTATTGATGGAAATCTATGGAGGGTTGATGGTCCAGTGTCTATCGAGCTGTGATGATTGGTACCACGTGCACGAGTCTTGTTGCATTTGCATTTATGAGATAATTTTGAGTAATTTATAATGTTGTGGCCTTTGATATTCCTTGATGAATATGATGATGCATAATATGAAAATGACGTTGTTTTATGTATTGATTCCTATATTGATTATTATGAATCGTTTTACTCACCCTGTTTGAATGTTGTCTCCACGTGGGTAACGTGCAGATGATCAGGTTTAGTTGTGGATGTCATCGAGGATCTTTTTGGAGTTTTGAGTTGTTGGCTATTTTGGTTAACTTAGAGGGTCTTGCTCTGATAGTGTAACACCAGGTTGGGGTCTTTGAGTTAAACCATGTTTTATTTGACTGTTGTTATTTTGATTTTGTTTCCGTACAAGGAAAACTTTGGATTATGTCTTTTTGAGTTCCGTTGCCTTTTGAGCAATTTTTGATAACTTTTGGGAAAACGACTTTGTTTACGAAGTCTTGACCTATATTTGATTTATTGAGAAATGTACCTATATTTGATTTATTGAGAAATGTACCTATATTTGATTTTTTATTGAGAAATGTACGCTATTTAAGGTGATTTTTATTGAGTTTAATATTTTACTCGGATAAATGTGAATATTTTGCCATTAAAACTGTGGGGTAGAAAAGGGTGTTACAATAACAACCCATATAATTTTAGGTCGGGTATTGAGTTTGAATTTTACAACACGCAGATCCATTGACCCAATTCATTGATGTGACTTTAGTAATTTCTTATTATTTTTATTATAAAACTAATATCTCATTGATAATCATAATTTTTCAAAAAAAATTTATTTTCCACCAATAATACTATTAGACGAATGAGTTTACGTAATTCTAATTTTAAATATTATTTTTTATTTTCTTTTGTACCATTTCCAACTTACCTATTTTATGGAATAGTTGAATTTTACACTAATATCAAGTATTATGCCGTGTTGGTGAATTTTATTATATATTATAGGATGTGTTTCATCGAATTTAAGTGTTATAAATGAATATGATTGAGTTGTATTATATATTTTTTTAAATTAGCAAAAAGAATCATAAAAAAAAAATATTTTTTATTTGAAGCACAACTTGCGAACTCAATCCAACCCATAAATAAACGGGTTGATTCGAGTCGGTTTTAATAATAAAATTGTGTGTTGGACGACGAACTCAACCTACTGAAATTTAAATAAAGAATAATGGATTATGACATATCCGATCTAACCCAACCCGCATTCACACATAGAGTCAATTATTAAAAGATGACCCTAAAGAATAAAATCCAAATCTTTCAAAAAAAAAAAAAAATCAATTTTAGCTTTCCTCCAAAATGAGGCCATATTTCTATTATTTGGACTTAAATATTTTTTATTCAATAATATCTGAATTAAATAAAGATTTAATTTTATATTTTGTCTCCATTAAAATATCTCACATCATTTATCAAACATAACATTTAAAATAAAAAAAACTCCTTTTCCTCCCTTCTTTTCACTAGATTAAAATCCTTTTCATGGTTAGAAGAAAATCTAGGATAGTGAATGTGAATGATTATTTTTAACTTGAGTCGTGTGATTCAATTATTTAGAGGGTAGAACATAAAGAAAATAATCAAAGTTATTTCATATTTTAATATATATCATTTTATTCCCTTCGATCTTAATGTGCTAACATGTATTTAACAATTTATTATTAATAATATTAATTAAGTTTTTCTCTGTAAAAAAATATATCATCACAATCAAAAAGATTATTTATTATTTTGTTACTTTTCCTTCAACTCAGATAATAAAATTACTAAAAAAGACTAATTGAATTTCTATTGAATATTAGTGTAAATCAATTAAACGCATAAATACATCACTATATATAAAAAAGATAGATTTATCATTTTTGTTATTTTTCTCTAAACTCAGAAAGCGTTAAAAGTAAAATAAAATAATTAAAAAGAGAAATAATGATGATATGTTTCTATTCATTTGTTAATTTGTAATATTTCTGAAATTATTAGATCGAAGAAGCTCCTTCCGATAAAGAAAGGTTCGCGTCAATCATATTCACAAATTTCTACTTTTTTTTTTCATTTTCGTTTTTCTTTCATCCAGATCTATAAATTATCATGAAATTAACATGAATTTCTGAAATTTTCGTTGATAAAAATCCTGCTACCGATTTTTATCATTTCATAGGTTATTCTCTTGGAACCCTAAATTCTGAGTTGTTTATGGGTTATGGAATTGAAATTCAAGATGAATTTGAGATAATTGTTTGGTTTTTATTTTTATTTAAATAATATTGGTTTCATCCGTGTTATTTTGGAGTATTTGTTATGTTGAAACCCTAATTTATCGGTTGTTTTAAGTAACTATTTTCAATTTCTCTATGTGTCTGATTTTCTTAGGGTTCATAGCTATGTAGCACCTACACTTATTGAAAAAAGGTGTGTCTGTTTCAATTTCTGTATCTGAAACCGAGACAGACACTTGTGATTACGTTTAATTTATTAATTTTTTAACTTATGTCAACGTGTCAGAATCGGTTATAATTATTGTATGATAGGAACAAAAGCTAATTAGTTAACGGTTTAACGTGACAATCATGATTTTGTTATTATGGTTTTGCAATTAGTAAATCATGTTGGTTATGATATTGTTGAATAAGAACAAAAGCTAATTAGTTAACGGCTTAACGCGCTGGTTGTAATATTGTATAATAGGAACAAAAGCTAATTAGTTAACGTGCTTAACGCGTTAATCGTGATTTTATTATTATGGTTTTGAAATTGCTGAAACATGGTTGTTACTACTTGTTATGATATCGTGTATTGTTTACCTCGCTTAACGTAGTGATCCCCGATGGTTAAAACCTTAAAATCCTCTGGAAGTTATTGGCTTGTTAAGGTTTTTAGTGAATACACTTTTTCCGAAAAGCAAGTAGGGTTTTTACAGCCACCCGTATTTGTTAATATACTCCTGCAGGTCTAACTTACTAATCTTCTTTACATAAAAAAGTGTGTGTATCTATGTGCATATGTATATGTGTATGATTAATGAAAGAAACACACTAAACTTTTGGACTCAAATGTTGTTGTAGACAATGGAATATTACATGCTTCTGATTTTCTATTTCTTTTCATCTCTTGATATGATAGGTTCTAATTGGTCAAAAACATGTCTCTTCGCCAAGGAGGTGATGCTGAATATTTTGCGGATGAATATGAAATGGATGATGTAGAAGAGGACATCGAAATTGATGGTGAATCTATTAATAGAGAGGGAGACGACGTCGACTCTGACGTTGATGAATATGATTACTCGGTTCGTAGTATGCCGTTTCTTACGTTTTTACAGTTTTCTGTTATGAATATGATGTATGTACATGATGATGCTTTATTGTACAATAACTCATTTTCCATTTGGGGGATGTCAACTTACCCTCATTGTAATAAAATAAATAAGTTATCAAGCAAATGTAAATTATGTATATAGTTATATATAGTTATACTTATCTTTCTACGAGTAACGATGTAGTTATGGTGGCAGGGTAGTAAAGCTGTAGACACTACAGCTGCTCAAGCTAGACAAGGACAAGACATCCAGGGGATTCCGTGGGATAGCCTTAGCATAACCAGAGAAAGGTATCGGCAAACGAGGCTTGATCAATACAAGAATTATGAAAATGTCCCTCAATCAGGGGACAGGTCAGGGAAGGTAACAATTTGATGCATTTTCTCTTTGATATTTCAGAGAAAAAACTTCTTCTATTACATCATTGGCCATAACTGTGACCAATATAAACCATAGTCACAGAATTCACCACAGTACATAGATAATTGCAGATTGGTCCGCGACTCCCCGAGTACCGATTCCCGGATTTTTTTTTTGTTTGCAATTTGATTCACAGAAATTTGTGAGAAATTTGCAGGAATCTGCACACCAGAGAGGCAAAACCATCTCTTGTTTAATTGAGCATAATAATAGCTAAGTAAAATAAAAACCGGCAAAAGAAATCATTATTTAAATGCTGCACTGTCAATGGGAAACGCTCGTCGCCTTAAAAAAGCGAGATATCACTGGCCCTCACGTGCACTGCACCTTGCTGTACACTGGAACGACGTTGTTCTATACTGTCTAAATTTAATTTACTGCTATGTTTTCCAAGCTTCCAATGTGGGACTATAGTGCTATCTCCTAATGTCGGACGACTGGTATAGCCCTATCTCTCTATGTTTGACAAGCCACGTACGTGGGTGCATATCCTCTATTGGTGACTTTTGGGCTATCCTTTTTAAGGTGACTTTTGTTGGAATCTGATTTTTTAAACAAATGTTAATTACTCTTCTTGATAATAGATGCTTAGATCATGGATACTCAAATAATTATTTTGACAATAGGGAGTTAGTTCCTAAAATTAAATTGCATTTTTTTAATACTAAAAAATGCTATCGGTCTATTATATTATAAATCACAACTATATAACATCTAATTATTTAGTGCTCAATTTTTTAACAATATAATTTTTTTTGAGATTTTAATGATATTAATTTAATTTAAATTACAAAAGATGTAATCTACATAAATGGTAAACTAAAAATATTTCTGAAACTTCCATTTACTTGAAAATGCGAACTATCAATTTTACATTACTATTAAAACGTATTTATGGATAGATTGAGATTCTTTTTATTTTTTTTATATCATTTATCCTGTTGTTTTTTAACTACATATTTTTAATTCATAGTGATTAGTATATTAGAACATACTACAAACCGAAATAGTGCACCGACTATATATACCATGTACCTAATACTTTGAGGGTTGTGTACCACCACATACCCAAAACCGTAACACGTACTGCAGAAAATTGTGAACCAGGTGACTATGATATAAATAACACCAGGCTTACCTGTTTATTATTGTCTATTACAAACAGGATTGTAACAGTACAGACAAAGGATACTCATTTTATGAGTTCAGGAGAAATTCAAGATCAGTAAAATCAACAATTCTTCATTTTCAGGTAAGCTGCAGCCTGTATCTACTCTGGTTTTTATAATGGATTAAGGATGCTCTAGGACATTTTACTGCACAATGGCTCTGTTTAACCATTTTATATAAATTTAGAAGATAGATCAGCTTATTACAATATGAAATATATTAAACCAAAGGTTCAAACTAAGTCAAGTCTGGAAAGTGTTGGTACTTAATATACTTTGCATTGAAATTCATAGCAAGAGTAAAGGGAGAAGGAAACAACTCTACATCACTCACCTATACCAAACCGGCATCTGATAAAATGCTCATAATTATGTAATAGGTTTAAAAAATTAAAAAAAAATGCAAATAGCCCATTTCTCCGATTTTTATCTGGTTAACAGTTTAAAAATACTCGTTTGCTGGTTTGAATCAGTAGGTGGTATGTAACTGAAATTGGTAGAAAGAGCTCTGTGAGGTTTTCACAGCTGGAACATGTGATTTATTATATATTATGTCAAATTTTATAGTCTGTTCATAGGATGCGAAACTTGAGCAGTACCTTGAATGCCATAGGCTTTGAAGTGATATGATCTCGTGTAGTTTGACTGATATTCCCTCCTTTTTTTTTTGATACTTATGCAGTTGAGGAATTTGGTTTGGGCTACATCAAAGCATGATGTATACCTTATGTCACAGTTCTCAATAACACATTGGTCTTCTTTGACTTGCACAAGGTCTGAAGTACTCAACGTTTCAGGACATGTTGCACCATCAGAGGTGAATAACCTTTTAAATAATGTTTTTAATTGGATAGCCCTCTAAAGCACGTTGCACCATCATGTAGCACAAGGTCTAAATAATGGTTTGGCTTCTGATTATTCATTGCATAAATTTTGAGGAAAAAAAATCATCAATCATATGTTCGTAATCTTCCATGCCATCAATTTTCGTTGTCAGAAACATCCTGGAAGTCTATTGGAAGGATTCACACACACTCAAGTTAGTACACTTGCTGTAAAAGATAATCTTCTAGTTGCTGGAGGATTTCAGGGTGAACTTATTTGCAAGGTAAATGTTAATTTGCTTGTTATTGAGGAATATCAATTTTTTTAATCTGTTGTGAATAGAGCAGTAAGTATAAATTGTAATCCTGGACATCCACATTCTGATCATTCCGTGAAACATTTAAACAAAATTTAAAGAATGCAATGCGCTGCTTTCATAAGTTCATATGCAACATGCACAAGCAAGACATGTGATTTATATGTGGCGATGAATAACTTGAATTATCATTTTCATTCATGTTATTTCTAATTGGGCATTTGCATATGCGTGCAGTTTGGTTCGTCATTGCTATTAGACTATACATGATTTTTTAGTTATATTTACAGATGCTGTAGATGTGTCCCTCAGAGTTTGTTTTTGTTATTAGAACCATCAGCTGATATAGTTTCATCACTTTCTTTGTTACTGAAATGCAGCACCTAGACCGGCCTGGTGTCAGCTTTTGCTCAAGGACTACTTATGATGATAACGCTATCACCAATGCCATTGAGATTTATGCTTCTCCTAGGTATTTAGTTGTTCTTCTCCTTAATTGTTTTGTTATTTTAAGAATGGATGTACCTGTGTTTTAATACCACTGGTTCCTGCTTTTTAGTGGGGCAGTTCATTTCACAGCATCAAATAATGATTGTGGAATCAGAAACTTTGATATGGAGAAGTTTCAACTCTCTAAGCATTTTCGTTTTCCCTGGCCAGTGAATGTGAGTCTTTTAGATTATGTTCTAATCTTTTAGTTCCCTACCCCCTCTTAAGATTGATAAATGAATACTTTAATTTTGTTCTTTCAGAAGTTTTATTGCCATTTCTTTGTGCATTAATGAGCAATTTTTGCATATGAAACATTGCTTACACATTACCGTATGGATGAGTCGATTGGGTATCTTTGTCATCTACTTTTATTCTTGATGTTAACAATTCGATGCAATAATGAACAAATTCGAGTGTCAATATGGCCTTCAGTAACTAGCTAGAATCCTTGATATCTTTCTGTTCTTGTGACATTCTTTGCTTTCTATTTATTTTCTCATCTTAAGCCTTTTTTTGCTATGCTGCAGCATACTTCTCTCAGTCCAGATCGTAAGCTACTTCTGATTGTGGGAGACAATCCTGAAAGTATGTTGGTGGACTCTCAAAATGGAAAGGTGGGACTCTACGCCCATTTTGGTCAAACAACCAACCACTTTTCCAATCAGTTGTATCCGAAGAGTACATGATTGCAAATCTTACTAATCCGAATTTCCTTATTTTGCAGACTATTGCTCCATTATCCGGGCACTTAGATTTTTCATTTGCATCATCATGGAATCCCGATGGTGTGACCTTTGCTACGGGAAACCAGGACAAAACCTGTAGGATTTGGGACATGCGAAATTTATCCAAGTCAGTGGCAGTGTTGAAGGGAAATCTTGGAGCTATCCGTTCAATCCGACATTCTTCTGACGGAAAGTATATGGCTATAGCCGAGCCTGCAGATTTTGTCCATGTATATGACGTGAAAAGCGGGTATGAGAAAGAACAGGAAATCGATTTCTTCGGTGAGATATCCGGCATATCTTTCAGTCCAGACACCGAATCCCTTTTCATCGGGGTTTGGGATCGTACTTATGGCAGCCTTCTCGAATATGGCCGGCATCGTAATTACTCATACACTGACTTAATGATCTAGTCGAATATAATCAAAACGAGGGATAAAGTGACATAATCGACAGTGCACTTGATCGAACAGCTTGCTTAATGTATCCTTTTCGGGTAGGTTGTTAATGTATAAATTGAGTGTCCTGCAAATTACCTCAATTTGTAGTTATAGTAGGGCTTGTATGTGTCTGTTTATACTGGTGTGTGTGTGTGTGTGGAAAGTGAGGTAATAGGAGGCTAGAAGAAGATGATGGTGCAAACAGAAGTGGAAACAGATCTTGCTGAGTATCATCATCATCACTATGTAATGCAGTAACTTTCTGTCTTGAAAAAACTCACTGTTGTAATAACATATATATTGTATTTTGGAATGAGTTTTATTAGCTATTACCCTTTTGTATTTAGTTTGTCTGTGAAGTTTTTATGTCCATGGTGATGTGATAGATTACAAAAATGGATGGAGTATATAAATATTATAACAATGGTATTGAAAACTTACAATTTTTAAATAGTAACTTCCTACATATGAAGTTAAAACTAGGACTTCCATGTTTAACCTTTTCATAAGCAACTATAAGCTTATTAATTTTCTTTTGCCAATAAAATATTTAAACTTATTTTCTCTCAAAAAAGAATATGTAAACTTATTTCAATTTTTAAAATTATCATAACTCAAAAACTAATTTAAATTTAGCGAGTCATGTAACCATTGAAAGTTTGAAACCATTGAATTCAGTTAAACTTGTTGTAATTTTAAGACACTCAATTTAATTTTTAATAATAAAAAATTAAAAAGAAGTTTTTTTAAAAATAAAATCATGAGTATTTTTATTTGCAACAATATTACTAATTTTTGCAAAAAAGACATTCTGTGTATATATATCACCAATTAAACACCACAGAAAATGTAGAATAAAAAATCTAGAATCCAAAACAAACCAATAAAACCAAGCCAAGTCACTAGCTAAAATCTTGACTCCATGGTCTAAAATCACAATCACAAACAACCTTATCTTTCTCTTCCACCACATCTTTTCATACTATATCATATAATTCCATAACCTACCTTCTCTTCCATTCCATTCACTCATCAAACCAAAAACAATGGCAGCATCAGCATCATCCATGCTCTCCACAAACGCCCTAACAACCACAATCCAAAAACACCAAACACACAACCTCAAACCATCAAACCTATGTTTCCAAGGCTTCAAACCCTTAACAAGATCCACAAAACTCACACAAAACAAAAAGAGATTCTCATCCCTTGTTGTCAAAGCTGAACTCAACCCTGCACTTGTGATAAGCTTAAGCACTGGTCTCTCGTTGTTCTTAGGAAGGTTTGTGTTCTTCAACTTCCAAAGAGAGAATGTTGCAAAACAAGGTTTACCTGAACAAAATGGTGTGACACACTTTGAAGCTGGTGACTCACGTGCTAAGGAATATGTTAGCTTGCTTAAGTCAAATGATCCTGTCGGGTTTAACCTTGTTGATGTTTTGGCTTGGGGTTCTATAGGTCATATTGTTGCTTATTATATCTTGGCCACTTCTAGCAATGGTTATGATCCTAGTTTCTTTGGTTAATTAAGATTACTATGTTGTTCTTGGTGTTGTTCATTTATGTTGTTTTCATTTTGTCTTTTGTTGTTCCTTTTATGTAATGATGATGATGATGTATAGTTTATTTGTATGAGATATCCAACAAGTTAAGTTCCTTGGATTAAAGCAATTTGATTTGGATTAAAGCTTCTATGGACTATGTTCAATGGAAAATGAAACCTTTTTCTACATTGAAGTATGTTTAATTTTGTATTGTTAGCATATGATTCTCTTACTACGAGGTATTACTCTATATATAAAACATGAAAATTGAAAAAAACATACGACGATTATAAGAGCACCTCCGACGATTATAAGAGCACCTCCAATGGTGCAACCCATTTTTAGGTTTTTTGTGGGACCCACTCTTCTAAAATAATTTATTCAATTTTCACTCGAATGGTGCAACTTCAAAGAACTCATATTGGGTCTCACTACTTTACTTAAATATATTATTTATATTAAATTTATTTTATTTAAATTTATAATTTAAATATTTAAATTTTAATTACTATAAATATAAACTAAACATAAAATTAAAATTAAACATAAAATTGAAAATAATAATTTATGAGTAAAATGATGAAATTGTGAGAGAGAAATTTAAAATTAAAGAGTAAATAAAAGTGAGAGAAAATAGGATTGTTATAAATTTTTGCAACAAACTTATATTTATAACAAATAAAAAAAGTTAAAAAAAAAATAAAACCAACAAGTTAAATAATTATTTTAATAATAAAAAAAATGAAGAACCATTGTTTATGCAAGAAACGTTCACCAGCTGGAACAACTTTTTGTTGACAATTTCAATGCCAAGTTGGCAAACCAATTTGAAGAACCACCGTTGGAGATGGTCTAAGTATTTAGAAGATTTTATAAAATAAAGAGTTTAAAGTTAGTTTATAAACAAACATAAATAGTTTTCCTAAGCTATTTAAAACAACTTGTGAAAACAAGTTGAAAACATTTTTATAAAGTTTCTCTAAAGACTTGAGCAACTATATATTTCAAATGTGTATTACTCTTAAGTGATTGACTTAAATTGTTAACTCTATTTAAGAAAAGATTATTTAAGAGAGTTTGAATTATATTTTGGATATAACAATTTTTATAATTTTTATTGAGAATTTCTTATTGCATCTTATATATTTCTAGCACATTGTGTGAGTTTTTACATATGTTTTTTGTTTTCGGAGATATATCTACGAAATCATTTTTTGCATATGCAACCAAAGTCATTCTGAGATACGCCATACACAATGGGTTAATTTTATTATGAAGATATAACTCCAGAACATTTTAATTGTTCAGTTCAGTAGATATTCTGGAGATGTATCTCCGGGATTATGGGCGATGTTTTAAAATTTGCTGTCATCTTTGCATGTCAGATATTTCTGAAGACGCATCTCCGAAATTTATGTGATATAGGACTCAATTGCATGATCACTCCTCCATTGTTGAAATACAAAATTTTCCATTAAACCATTCACCATAAAACCCTTCATTCTATATCCATTTGATTCAACATATCACAGGGAGTAAAAGAAGATAAAATTTGAGGTAAAGATTGTTCTTTTTCGTCTGCATTGCTCACATTAATCATCAATTTTTTTTGAAAAAGTTACGCTGTTTCTAGAGATGTATCTCTAGAATGTATATGAACTTGTCCAAAGATACATTTTCGAAAGTTGTCCATGTTTATTTTTCAACCCCTCCGCAGCAGTAGATGAACTAATATTCTGTTATTGTTTTAATTGTTTTCAATAGATATGGTGCACCCCGATGTTTTTCAAAACAAATTGTTTATTTGAGCGTTGTTTCTTCGAATGTTCAAGGGGTTGTTCTGAAGGCGGTAGATGTTGGCAACGACTTTAGTAACAAGTAAGAGTTTGAATCTCGTGATAAAATGATTGAATGGATTCGTATGAAGGCATCTAGACTTAGATTTGTTGTTGTTATCGGAAGGTCCGATAATGACTCAAATGGAAGAAGCGCCTATGTAACAATGACGTACAAAGAAGCGGGAGATATCGAACTCCTCTTCGAAATTTTAAAAGAGATGACACGAGTAATAGAAAATGTGAGTGTCCGTTTAAGGTTCATGGTTACATGTTGATAAATAAAAATTAGAGATTTAATGTGATATGTGGTTTGCATAATTATGATTTGTGTTCAAAATTAGTCGGTCATCTTAGTGTTTGTCGGCTCAAAACAAAAGAGAGAAAATGTATTAGTATACTTGCAACATTAAAAAAAAAAATTACATTTTAGTAATAGAACATTACAATTCATTTTTATCATTCATATTGAAGATTAATATTTATTTTTGTATTGATAATGTATTTAATCAAATCATTTGATGTCATCTTTTAGTTTGCTTTAAAAATATTACGGTAGATAAATATTTATTTGATATGATTTTTTTTCTTTTTGAAACCAATGACTACTCATTAGGTTATTTAACATGATTTGATTATATACAAATATGGATAAATCTACATTATTAATGCATGGATATTAATATCTTAGGGGAGAGGATTCACAGCTGTCGTACCTTAATTTTTATCTTTAAGTTTTTGTTTTTTTTACATCATCTACACAGTCTATGACATCTTTTATCAGGCATAACGTCCAAATTATCAGCAAAAATAAATTTATTGGACTTACAGCCGAATCACTCAAACTAAAAGTCAATTGTGCGTAAAGTTAATGGACGAAAAGTTTGAAAATCGAGCTTGCAGATGTCCGTTATATTAATTTATGTTCCACGTAGTTTAACCTGACATTCTCTTTTTAATTTTTCGATTATTTTTCGATCAAATTTTGATCAATCTGAACTTTTAACCGAGAAAAATTTATTTCGGAATTTGAACAAACGCTGTATTTTTTGGAGTCGTTTATTTCGCGCTGATCATTTTAGTGCGTTTATTTTATTTTTTTCGAGCTGATTTTATTTTTATTTTTAATTAATAATATTTTTATTTAATCAGTTTTTTAATTTAGTTTTATTTTAAATAATTTATCTTTTTTATTTTATATCATTTTCTTATTTTAATATTTTAATATTTATTTTTTATCCATTTTAAGCAAAACTTAGCAATTAAGTTTCAAAAAACTTATCATTTTTTTATTCATTTAGTTTTATTAAATTTTTTTATCCACTTCGATGCCCTTATCCCTTTAATATCACCTACAAACATCCTTCTATGATTGTGTGCAACTAAGCTTACGCTCCCCTACCGTGGACGACAACCATCACTTTTCAACCATAATCTCATAACATATTTAAGAGAAAGAGAAGAACTAAAACTTTCATATATTTTAGAATACAAACAAGTCAAAAATGATACAAAATCAAGAGTGAAATGTGTAGTTTGATGATCATCATAGTGTTTGATGATTGTTATAAAAAAAGTTATTTGAATTTGAATGATTCAAAGTCCATCAAAGATGTTTGGTGTTTGTGTTGAAATCAAGGGAGAGGTGTTTTTTTTCTTGTTATGTTTTAAAATATTTTAATAGAAGTTTTGGCGTGAGATTTGTACAAAGATCTAAAATATAGTGAATAATCTTTTAATGAGTGGAAGGAAAGAATGTACCTTTGGTTATACGAGGACTAATATAATTGCTTGTGTCATTTACTTTCATATACCTTAACTTTCTATCATACTTTATTCCTAAACAGTTACAACACTTCACTTTTTAAAAGCGCTTTTTTCCCTCCTATAGCAGCACCTTCCCTTGAAAAGCACTTTCATATGCTAGCCCTTTAGCAGTGCTTTTGAAAAGCGTTGTTTAAGGTGTGACCTAGACACCCCCTATAGCAGCGCTTTTTTAAAGCGCTTTCTAATATTGGGCTTTAGCAGCGCTTTCTATTGGTTACTTACGTATGACCTTTAGCAGCGCTTTCTAAAGGCATACTTTAGTAGCGTTTTTTTCGCTTGTTTTTTTTTTATAACAAAATTTAAACTTTTAGCAGCGCTTTTGAGAAAAAGTGTTGTCTTTGTAGTGCTGTCGAAAAACACTTTTAGCGTAGTGATATCGGTATTCTTATTCAATGAAACAATTACATTCAATGTCATGTCATCTTTTATATATATATATATATATATATATATATATATATATATATATATATATATATATATATATATATATATATATATATATATATATATATATATATATATATATATATATAATGTAGAATCATTTGGTAAAAAAAAGGTGGTGTTAATACTAAATACTTCCATGGTGTGCTATCAAGAAAGAGGAGGCCGATTTTGATTAAAGGAAGGTTGGGACTAATACTAAATACTTATATTATGAGCACTGAAGTAGGTGGACAAAGAATGAAAGAGGTTTATAATGTTAAGGATGTTTTGTTTCAATATTTCAAATATAGTTTTAAATTATCATATGGAGGCCCAGTTTTATCTATTTTAAGCAATTCATTTTAACAATAGATTTTTAAGAAGGAGAGATCAAGGATACAGTGTAGGACTACGATAAATTTAAGATTACATGTTTAAATAGAGTTAATTTTAAATTCATAAAAGAGTTTTGGCACGTGATGAAACATATTTTTTTATAAGTTTTGCAAGAATTTCACGGGAATTGTAAATTGTAAAGGGACCAAACAATACATTCATTATTTTATTTTTCAAAGACGGAGCATTCTCAATGTTTGAACGACTTTAGATCAATCTTTCTAGTTGGGTGCATGCATAAAGCTCTAGCAAAGGTTTTAGAAAATAGATTGAATATTGTAATTGAAAATGTTATTTCATAAAGTCATACGACTTTTATGAAAGATTGAAAAATATTGGATGACATTTTAATCACAAATGATGTGGTGAACGACACAAAAAATAAAAGGAAGAGATTTGAGAAGACACATGACTCGGTGGAATGAGAGTACCTAGAATCGATGAGAAATTTCCGAAAAATGGACAATGGATAGGTGAGTGTTTGAGATTGAGTTTAGCATTAGTCTTGGTTAATAGGAGTCCGACAAATAATTTTTTTTTAAAAGATAAGTTTAAAACAAAGTGATCCACTGTCACATTTTCTTTTTTTATTGGCAGTAAAGGGTATGAGTGTGAAAGATTATTGCAAGTATGTTACAGTCATGGTAGGTAGCAAATGAAGATGGGTGACACTTAATACAATCTTTTTCACATCGGAGAAGTAGTTAGTTATAAATTGTTGTTCCTTGTTGGCTAATAACGTTTTGTAGAAAACATAACAAATACATGGAGTTTGAGTTAAAACCATTAGATTGTCTATTCCCCCATGCCACCTATCACCTGCTTACTTGAGATGTGATTGTGGGCTTATTACCTCTTTAAGATTTGATTTGAAATAAATTTGTTTCTCTAAAGATCTCATTATTCCCTTCGTGACACATCCAAAACCGACTTCCAACAAAGGCAAGTATGATTTATCGTGACATATTTAACCACATGCATCTCATTGCTTACCTGACTGCGGGGTAAAGGAAAACTCTTAACGTGTGTTCTTCTAGTGCTCTTTATTTAAAGTGTGTGGAGTAATGTTCTTCATTGATTAGAAATTTCGATGATATTATCTAACAATAGTTTCACATACTCATCACTTTTGCGGTCTTCTTGTTCTTAAGAAAGAACTTTGTGATGCCCTTTCATTCAATTTAGTTGACACGTTCTTTGATTTTGTGATTTAAGCCAACAAAAAGTTTTTCGACCACAAAACATTATCTTTAAACCAAATGCTTGACCGCATAAAGTTTAGGTTTGACGGGGGATTAAGTACAAACTCAAAAAGTTTTCTTATGTTTTTAACATAGTGGTGGTTAAGCTCAAGTATGACTTATATACAAGAGAGTAATGAATAATCTTCACATAAAACATTTTTGGCAAAAATATACCTTGAGTCCTTTAAGTTATTCTTCTTAACAAAGCAGTCCTTTATGTTTTTCGCTACAAACATGTCTCATTTGTTTTTAAATTGTAACAATCAAGTCCTTCAAATTTTGTTTATTGTACAAATTACGACCTTACTGTAGCAAAACTGGTATAGAATTGCAACAAATGTTATATGAAGGTACCAAAAGTCATGTCTTACGACGAATGTTACATGAAGGTACCAAAAGACATGTCTTATGACACTAACATCAAAATTAACAATAATCATCACTTTCGAACCAAAATGCACATCAACTCTACAAAAATCAAAACTAACAACATTATGACATAGACTAGCATCTTCAACGTCTTCAACATGTTCTTCATCATCTCCTTAAATGACACATCAACGTCGTTAGTGTCACATAAGCTTTTTTGGAACAGAATTTGTGAAAAATGTCAGCGGTGAACACGTTAGTTAACATAAATGACCAACTTGTAGCGAAAAAAACATAAAAAATTGTCTTGTTACAAAAGATTTTTCTAAGATGACCAACATTTTTCTAAGATGAATAATCCTTATATAAAAGATTTTTTTAAAATTTTAAATCCGCCACCTTCAACTATTTCCGTCTCGTTCTACCCCTTATTTTTGCGCATTTTTATGAATTCGAACTAAATAAGACGAATATATTATTTGTTATCCTAATAGTTATTAGTATTATAAGTTTTAAATATTCTTCGAAACATATTTCATATTGAAATATTTTCTAAACATTAAATACATTTACAACTATAAAAAAAACAAATATTTAACATATAGGTAGAAAAATCTTGAAGGCATAAATATTTTCTAAAGTTATGACATTTTCTTAATATATGATAAAAAAACCCTCAAAAAGACATAATATTTTTCAAAAAATTTCGTTTCTAACAGATCACATATCTATGAAATTCGAAAAGAGTATTCGTTGATATTGTGATTTTGATTTGAGTTGAGAATTTGATTTAGGTATTATTAAAAATGACAAGTATTCAAAATCAAAATCAAAATCAAAATCAAATTCAAATTCAGTGTGAGACTGAACCCAAAACCCTAAACACAAACCCTTATCCTCCCCCAACTGCTCTCTACTCTGACCTTGTTCGTGACGCTAATCTCTTTAGGGAAACGCTTCAATCTTTTCATGATTCATTTGGTACCAAATTAAAGTTAGTATCTTCTCTCTTTCAATTACCGTTTTTTACTGTTTTTTTTCTGATTTTTATTTTGTGGGTTAGGTCAAATTTTGTGCTTTTTGTTGCTGCTACTGAGAATTTGATAATGATGATGGTGAAATTTCAAAATTGTATTAATATTGGAATAGAAGTTTGATTTTTTGATATTAGTTTAATTCAATTTAGCTTATGGTGTATATTAGGTTTGGTGGAGTAGTATGAAGTGTTTGTTGATTGGGAAAATTGACAATAGAACTAAATTGTGCTTACTTTTTTCCCATTTTTAAGAAATCGAGATTCTGATCGTGAATCGGAAGCCTATTTTTTCCGGATTGTGAATCAACTCTATAAACGCAATATACATGATCGATAAATTGACAATAGAACCAAAATTCATTACTTTTTCCCGTTTTTAACAAATCGAGATTCTGATTATGAGTCGGAAACCTTTTTTTCGGATTGTGAATCAAGTCGTATATAGATGGCATATACATGATTGATAAAATATAATAATTTTAAGTACGAAATAGGTATAGGGCGATACAATTCAAGATTTTTAGGTGATAAAACGATATGGCAAGAAAAGTGATTGGTGACACAAAGCTTAGATTGCTTTATGTTTCATCGGGATCAGTGTTATCAAATAGCGGTGCCATGGTCGCTATGGCGAATATACATTGCGGTTTTTGGGCTTGCCACAATGGAAAGTATCGGCTAATATTGCGGGTTTTTTTTTCCTGCCATTATCCGCTATATTGGTGCTGCAAGGCGGCTGGTTTGGTGGAATTTTGGCTCTCCACCATGGACTGCCATCGACAACGCTGATTGGAAGTAATTGCAGTGAATCGGGACTCATCTTAATGAATAAAGAATCATTTCCAAAGAAGATACAAAGAGCAACTCATATCTATTGGGTTCAGTTTTGTTTTGAATTGAGATTCGATTAGCCTGGATGTACGATCCTTATAGCCATGTTTTTTCCTTTTTTGTTTGTGTAGGATTCCTACTATAGGAGGGAAGCCACTAGATCTTCATCACCTTTTTATCGAAGTAACATCTCGTGGTGGTGTGGAAAAGGTATGCATTGTATAGTTTCTCAACTAATTGATAAAAACTAGTATACCTCCTTGTGTGTGCTTTCAGCAGATTTGATTTTGACTAACCAGATTTTGAGTTTGAAATTTATCTTGGAAATTTTTATTAGATTGATTTCTCTTAAATACAACCTTTCTCCAATGACTCTTTAAGTTTTTTTTTTTTCGGTTTGTCAAATAGCAGCTATATAGCGGACCGGAATTTGAACAAATATTTATTGTTTTACGACAAACTATTTAGTACAAAACGCTGTCACATAATGGCTTTAGTAATAGTGGCGTTATAGCTTTGTTCCATAGGAGAGTTTGAACAAACCCTAAATTTCCACAATCCACTATTGACAGTACTGCTTTTTCTTACATTTATGTAGGTAATTGTAGATCGTAAATGGAAGGAAGTAATTATGACCTTCAACTTCCGCGATACCATAACAAGCGCATCATTCATGGTGCGCAGGTACTATCTATCATTGCTTTATCACTTTGAGCAAGTGTATTATTTAGGGAAGCAAGCCCCTCCTTCACCACCTAGTAAGTAATGAGTCTACTTTTCCCCCCTCCTCTAATTGTGTGTTTTGAAATTTTCGTTTTACCGATCAATAATTTCATATATCCAGGTGCTCTGAGTGGGAACCTCGCCAATAGCTCCTCAACCAACAAGGAGGGTGCTGCTATCAATGATTCACCTCGTCAGGGTATGTCAATAAATCATTTAGATCTGATTAATTCTTCAATGCTTCAAACATTCATCCATATGATGTATCTATGTTTCTTTTTACTTGAAACAATGCCTCTAGCTTCTTACCATGATAGCAATAGTAAGGGTATCATTTGCGTCTTCTTCCGCGGACATGTGACATGGATCAATGATACTGTTTTTGTGATGTTTGCTGACTTGTGACGGAATGGTTGGCTTTGGCTTTGTCTTTCTCAGAAGTTCCGAGATTGACACAATGTCGGTGTTGGACATCAACACATGTGATTACTTTCAATTATATAATTCTCTCAACTTATTACCATTGTCAATGTGTCAGTATCTCTATCATGTATGTGTTAGTTAGTGGTTCATAATTGATAAGGCTCATTAAACATTATGCCACATGCTAGTACAAACTGTACAAGCCTTGGTTGTCAAACTTGCGATTGCACTCGTAGAATTGAACGTGTTTACGGGTCTAGGAGGCCAAAATGAGCTGATGAATCGCATGTGTACCCGTACAAACTCGCGAGTCTCTGGCGAGTTCAATGAAATTTTTGAAAAAAAAAGCCCAAAACAGACCAGGCCTCAATGGAAGACTGAAAAAAAAAAAAACTAAAACACGTCTCTTCATTCTCATTTTAAAAGTCACTCACAAAGATAAACAACTAAACCAATCTCCACCAAAGAGAATAAGAACTATCTCATCCCGTCTCATCCTTGCTATGCGACGACGTGCTCGCGTTCTCTTCTCTCTTGCGTCTTTGCATTTCTCGCTCGCGTTCACTCATCTTTCGTATTTTTGTGCTCTTCCTCTATGTTATGTTTTGTTTCTTGCTCTTTTCTTTGTTGTTGCTCTACTCTTACCGACAATAGGACTATAACCCAAATGTTATGAGGTTTGTTTGAATTGACTTATTTTCTTTCTTATACGCAGTTAGTACAGCACAGACAATTGGCACTTCATTGCATGGGACAATTGACGAGAAATTTGACGGTGGATATATAGTTACAGTGGACCTAGGTTCTCAACAGCTGAAAGGTGTCCTATATCATGTTTCAAGTAATGTATCTCAAAGTTCATATGCTAAAGGTACGCCTATTTCAAAGAATCAAAAGAAATCAAGATTGTCATTAAGTGATCCATCTCGGTCTAAATCGAATAGTAGTTACAATTTTGTTTTTAAATGCAGGTTTATCAGGAGAAAGGGTTGAGAGATGAAGAAAATACAGAATTGAAATGTTGATGTACAAATTCAGCGGTTCGTCTCAGATTTTTGTTCTTTTCTTTTATTCTTGTTATAGTTGTTTTCACTTTAACATTATGAAGAGAATTTCATCATGAGAAAACTGATGGATTAGAAAAGTAGCTTTTAGACAATTCTGGTGTAAATTATGGTGAATGATTCTGTTAAACATCTTGTAGTAGTGTTCAATTTGTTGTAGTTTTTTCATAAATCATGGATGTTCATTCATGAATGATAAGCTATATTCCACAAAAAAGTGCTTATTTTATAAGTGGAATACTCTGCTCATTCCTGAAAAAGTTGTGTGGATCGAATTTCGATTTAATTTCTGCCAACCTTCTAAAGTTTCCTTTGAAGTACTTAATCCCCCAAACACTTGCTTCTGCGTAGCTCGTGTTTCGATTTTTGTTGCTACCTAAATCAAGATCCTTATAGTTGAAATAAGAAGCTCTTGGAGACTTTGAAACATAAGGACTCATATAAGTATAGAGCTTTCTCATCCACTTCATATGTCTATTGGATTCTTCGATTCCGTCCGCATCCCACTTAACCATATATTGTATATTGTACAAGTTTCCTTTTCTGTGTGGAAAAGGGATTTCAGATTCTGATATTTCATTCATTTTTCCACCATAAGGTTCTAATATCAGTAACGCGAACGAGTCTTCTTTTCGAAGCATTCGCAAAATACCGTCGAAACCTCTTTCTGGTATAGGCGTTTTTACATAGTCAGATTTCGCTTTGAACGAGCTTTTGTAATTCGTAGTTCGGTTCAGCAAAAGCTCTAAAGGATCTGATTTTTTGTATCCTGCGATATACAAAGTCGATTGAATCCAACTCATTTCGATGCAGTCTTTTAACCGTAATCCTAACTCAGGGAAACTCGAATTCATTATAGCGATTAGCTTTTCTTTTCTTCCAAGGAATAGAGAGTTGAAAATTGCTTTTATGGTTTTCGAATTTGGATTTGGACTTGGACCATTGTTTTGAGCAAGGACTCTTATGAAAAGATCTTGATGAAGTTTGTGTTCTATGTATTGCCATCTATGAATAAGTTTGGTTGCTTCTTGTTCTGATGTTGTTTCAATGGTGAATGCTGTAACAATGGATGGAACTTTAACTAACTTTATCTTCCATGCAAGAATGATTCCAAAACTAGTAGCACTACCTCCTCTTATAGCCCAAAAAACTTCTTCTCCCATTGATTTTCTATCATGAATTTTACCATTTACATCTATTAGGTAAGCATCAATAACATGATCTGCTGCTAGACCATGTTTCCTCGACAAAGTACCAAACCCTCCTCCACTTATGTGTCCGCCTATTCCAACGCTCGGACAAGTCCCTGATAAAAAACGACTTAATTAAGCGCTTACCATATCAGAGTTTATGCATAACTTACGTGTCTATCTACTATTCTAAGCATTGCGAGACCCTTTAGAGCGTCTGTCAAAAGCATTTTAAAGATTCTAAAAAAAAGTTTCTTAAAGACCTTATCTAACGCAGTACTAAAAGCTGAAATCGGACTATGAATATGTCTAGTAGATAAACTTAAATAAGTGAAGCTAGTTTTACCTGCGGGGAATCCATGAACTCGGCTTGTTTCGGAGATTTTATAGTAAAGTTCACCTAATGTTGCACCCGCCTGAACCCAAGCGGACTCATCAACAAGATCAATATCGATTGAATGGATGTTGACGAGATCGATTAGGACAAAGGGTGTCTTACAAATATAAGACAACCCTTCATAATCATGGCCACCACTTATGACTCTAACTTGTAAACCAATCTCTTTGCTACATAGAATAGCTGCTTGAATTTCTGATTCATGAGAAGGTGTAACAATGAAAAGAGGCTTGTTTGATGAACTCAACCATCTTGGATTTTGCTCCAATGATTCCAATACTTTTGGATACAATAAGCAAGATGAGTTGATAAACATTGTTTTTTCAATGGAGTTATGAACTTTGGTTAACATGCAATGCATGAAAATCTTGTCAAGTAAAGTAGAAGAAGTTGCAAAAGAGATTGAAAGATATAGAATCAGAAAGAGACTAAGATTATTCATCTCTAAGTTGAAGTGATTTGAGTTATGTTTCATACACCCTTTGATCTCTTTATATAAAAAAATTTACTTGACTAAAAATAAATGCAAATTTTAATTAAAAAGTTTGACTCTTTTATATTTACGAAAAAATGTAATTAATGTTACATAAGTAAAGGTTTTTTAAAATGATCACTTAAAATGGTTTGAATTTCACCAATTTTTTAATAATAGTAAAATAAAATATTAGAGTAGATTTAAGAAAATTGCTATTAAACTATTTTCCTAGTTACCATAACAACACAAAAATTAAAAAGGATGTGGCGGTGATATTTCCAAAGAGGAAAAAAAAGTGTTTTGTTGTTGGCATATTCCATGCTTTGGCATCCCTAGCAAATCTAAGCCTTTTACTTTTATTAATTTTTATAGTCTTTCATATTATTATTTTATTTAATATAATACTAAAGGTAAGATTGTTAAAACAATTTTTATTCAATATATTCTAAAATATTATTATTTTAATATAAAATATTTATATTAGTATAATACTAAATACTTTTATTTAATACAAAATTGATTTTAAACAATATTATTGTTTAGTATACATAATTTCATCATAATTAATAATGATTATAATAAAAATATAATAATTTTTTTATTAGTTTAGTTATTTGGATTGACTGTATTTTGTAAAACAATAATATGGAGAGGTGTTATGAGTGTTTAAGATTATCTAGCTTGTTTAAGCTGCATGGAGGTGTAGAAAGGACACACATTGAATGCGATGTCGAAGCATGTCAGTTCATCATCTAGGCCTTGTGTAAAAGGTTGATGTTGTTGCATTTTGAAGACTTTTTGGTCAAAGATTAGATCAGTTTTTATTGATATTGGTTTAACAATATGATTAAATGATTTGTTTGACAGCAGGTCAAAAATTAGTTTAAATTTAAATGAATATTTGAATATGAATTTAAATTAAAACAAATTATATTTTATTGGAGATATTTATGAAACAACTCATATTCTCATCTAATTGTGCATTATTTCTGGACAAAAACATATCTAACATCCAAGGATAAAACTCCATAAATATTATGCTATATATCATAAATATTATGCTATATAAGAAGTTCAAACTAAAGGGAAAAAAAAAGCATTTTCATTGAAGTAGATGATTCATATAGATGATTTTACACATCATACTTAGGCATTTCTTATCAACAAAATGCCATCATTTATCATATCTTCATAATTTCCTTTTGAAATGATTCATAATTCTCCACCAAGTTATGATCATATTAGAGTTTTTGATTGTTTGGCATTTTTCTTTATACTACACACGTTTTTTTGTTAAGAGCCCTATATCTATTATATGGTATAAGGGTTACATCTCATATACGTTTAATAGTATCCCACTTCGAAAAATAACTCTTAATGCCGTATCTCTTATTCGACCGGAACCTTTTATGCTGACGTCTGCTTGTTGCATACTTTGATCGACTACTGTTCGAAGAGCATTTTTCGTTGCGGTTGTAGCGGCAAATGGTGTCTTCCTTCGTGTACTCTTGAATTCACATGAACTGACAGAGGACCAAAAAATCACCCGACCTCCTACATATGTAACAGTCACAATGGTATTGTTGAAACTAGTTTGAATATAAATAACCCCCTTTGATATTTTAAACGGATGCTTACGAGGACCAATACGTCTAATTTTTCGTGAATACATATTTTACCATTTTTTTATTTAAAAAAAGAAAAAATAAGTCAAAAATATATGGATATATCCATTTCCTGTAAAAAAAAAAAAAATTCTTTACTATTTTCTAACAACCTTAAAAAATAAATTACATAATGCTTGCTATTCTTGCTCCACCAACACTTCCTACCCTTTACACTTCCAAAATTTCCAATAAGATATGATGACTATGTTTGTAACAAAAATTACTTTTTAAGCTCACAACTTTATCCTATCAAATATTTTATCAACCATTCCCACATATTTTCAAATTAAAAAAGTTACATATTTTCTTTTACAACACAAATTGAACTTAAATCATACAACTAGATTCAGATACTATAATATAGAGATAAATTGAATAATATCGAGCTTGCTTCCTCGTTGATAGATGATAGACTTATTACAAAAGAGATGTACCCAAGGCTCAATATTTGAGGCACGAGCTAAAATAAAAAAAAGTAATTATTACAACAAACTATAAGAACTATTATTTTAAATGAAACTATGCACGTGCCAACTCAGCAGTAAGAGTTTGAGGTTATGAATTTAAATGACAATTTAGACTCTATTTAAAATTCTTATAATATTAACATAAATTTAAAGTAAAGGAAAAAAGAAGAAGTTGGATACATAAACTAAATTCAACAAAATAAGAAAAATATTAAAAAATATCTATTAAGTATTTTGAGTCAGACTGTAGTTGAGTCCTTTAGACGAGACTTTATGCAAAAGTTTTTTTAAAACCTTAAGAAAAGACGTTTTGAGTTAAGTTTATTGAGACAAACTTTAATTGAGCCTCTCAGGTGAGACTTAGGATATGCCTTGTACGACGAGACTCTAAGTTCTTTAGGAGAGACATTTAGATGAGGCTGTTTGATGGGACTCTAAGTACCTCCGACAATATTATATGTTGATCTTTTCTGATGATATTCTAAGTCTTTCATGTAAGGCATTAAGTCTCTTGACCAAGACTTTGGTAGAAACCCTCAAGAAAGAATTTTAAGTTAAGTCTCTCAGGTCATACTTTGGCCAAGTCCCTTAGGCAAGACCTTAGGCTGAACCTTTTCTGAGGAAACTCTAAGTCCCTTAAGAGAGGCGTTTAAATGAGCCTATATTTGATGGGACTCTAAGTCTTTCGGGCGAGATTATACACTGATCTTATCTGACGAGAATCCAAGTCCCTCAGGTGA